TAATCAGTGGTGAGGGTTGTCACACGAGAGCACAACAAGATGGTGGATTTAATGGCCATGGATCTCATGGATTTTTTTTTTATTAATTTAAATATGTTTGTAATTTCTAAGCTTATTTCTTTTAATGGGATTAAGTGAGAAACAGGGGATAATGTACTATTAATGATTGCGTAGGATTTTAGATTTTAAAGATTCAAGCAGTCTCATCACTGTCTAATGAAATCATGCATGTTGTAGTCAATAATTTTTTTCAACTAACTTTTTCTTCAATGCCTATTTATTTAACATGCTTAATTATGTAATTTCTTATGTAGCTTTATGTGAACAAACTATAAAGGTTCTTTAGATTAGGGAAGTCGAAGGAATTGAACAAATCTTTTATAATACTAATTCACAGACTGTAGTGATGGATGCATTTAGTAATTCTTGAAGGCATTTGGAAGCATTGTCCTTTTTTTTTTAACACTACGTAAAAGGAAGTGCAGGACTTTGTATTGCTTTTCCTATTTAGTTCCATGATACTCCATTATAATTTTTTTTTTTTTTTTGAAGGGAATAAACCGGTTATGTACAATACACCTTCATACTTAAGAAGGTGAGGAACATTGACTAGGTGTCCTTTCTTTTTAATTTTAATGTAATAGGTTGTTTTGCCTCTTAGCTTTTGTCTTATGAAGGTGAGGACCCTTGACTAGGTGTCCTTTCTTTTTAATTTTAATGCAATAGTTTGTTTTGCCTCTTAGCTTTTATTGGCAATAGTCAATTTGGATTGTTTGGATTTTCTCAAGTGTTACATTTTTTTAATGGTAATTTTTTTAAAATGATTTTTTTTAGCCTTCTATGAGGAATCACGTATTTTGATCACGAAAAATTGTTTAAGTGTGAATGTGATAATTATTGGTATTTAGTTTGATAATTGTAAGTAACTTGGGGAAGACACTAGTACCAAATAAGATTGAGTTTAGTTCATATTGACTTGAATCTCTTACACTGTTTAGAATTTAAAAAATAATAATAAAATTATTTTGTCCGCTCAAACTATGACACTTATGTTACTTTATTTTTGAACTATCAATTTCAACTATAAACACCCTTTAGTTCCAAAAAAAAACTATAAACACCTTGAACTTCCAAAAATATTTCTCTTTGTCCAAAATTATTTGTTAACCATATTACAATTGTTTGACCAAAAAATTCTTTTTGCCCCTCAAAAAACAATTGTATAACTTTATCCCTTCAACTCTATCAAGTTTAATAATTATTAGGGACAAACCTTTGTCCAACCAAATTTCAACTACAAAAACAAGACAATAATACTATAATTTTTTATGTATTGTTTCATTTAGAACTTCCAACGGATTTTGTCAACTTCTCTATTGATCGTTGTTCTTTTTCTCTTCCTGTGTTTTTTTTCTTTTTATAAATTTTTTACAATTGTCTTGTTTCATTTAAACTATGTACAGTATAACATAAGTCACAATAAAAACAAATCACACACGTAAATAACTAAAAACATAAAAACCGAATGCAATTGATAATAAATTTAAAACACAATAAAACCGATGGTTAAGATTTTTTAAATGTGAATCCATCAATAAATTTTGTAAAATATTATCTAGTCATATATATCTAGTCCCATGATCCATTTCTGTGTTCATAGCAAAATTGTATTTCAAAATTTTCAATACTTGGAGCACCTGTAAAATGCATTGTAAAAGCCACTTCTAGATCTCAACACAGTTCCTTCTTTTTCTTCCCATTGTTGACTTTAGTCATGCAGCATTTTTTGAATCAGAGGTCATTCACCATTTCAGTAACATCTATCAGATGCAATACAAGTAAAAAGTAAACACTTCAAAAGAGTATTTAATGGAGTATATTAATAACCAAGTTCTATATAAGGCCTAAGAACAAATATATATTTTCGTTAATGTCTTGGCTCCCAATCCAATCTCATTTGTCAGGGTCTTTCCATCAAATTTCCACATGGCCTGATTGTCCCCATCCATATAAGGTACCAAAAACCCAGTACTTTTAAATTCAACAGTAGAAAGATAAATTTTTTTTTTTTTTTTTTTTTAAACCATTCGTGCAGATCAGGCACTCAACACGCAGTCTCTGGAATGTGAATTCTCACAAGCAGCCCGGGGCAACACACAGAAGCCTGGAGAAACTAAAACAAAGCTTGCAAAACAACAAGCGGATGGGTAGATCACCAAATTTTCTTTCTCACCCAGAAGAGAAGGACGACAACTCCAATCACAATGGCAACAGGGGCCCACTTCCGAATCAATGCCTTCAGAGAAAACCATAAGAGCAATTTAGTCAAAACATATATTAGTATCCACTTTCAAAATAAAACATTTCATAAGCAGCTCAACAGAAGCACTGCTAAAGACACACCAGACAAAAAATAACAGGCTTGTGAAAAGTAGGCTCATATATACATAGACCTCAAAACAGAGATGCCATTAGTAAATCATCACCAATCTGAAACAACTGCAACAACTTTTTGTCATTCAGCTATGTCAATGGCTATATCTTCAGTTAAATTAAATAAATTCATGTCTTTTTTTACTACCGCTCATGTCCGTAGTTCAGGTTTTCCCCTCGCCCTAACAATTCCATTTATAGTGGTGATCATATCACTCTTCCTAAACATTGCATCTATAGGTCTTTAAATGACTCAGCTCAAATGAAAAAAACTAAGTATATAAATGATACTAGTAAAAAGACCATTGTCCATAGTGCATTGTTTTTATGCCCAATCAAAGAGATTTACTTTCATAAAATGATATGAATGGATCTATCATTAACATGGACTTGGATCTATGAAATGATATGAATGCCTTTCAGATTAAATCACAACTGAAATAAAGAAAATCATCCTATGCAACATTAGAAAAACTTGACACACTTTTACATGTGAAGCAATAAAACATATATATCATATCATGGATCTTCCATACAAGAATCAAGTGGTGAGATGAAGAATTCAGATAAATTATTAGACTCAAGTGTAAATCATAGAAGATTACTCATACAAAATCAATAGACCCATTATACACCCATGCATGCTTTGATGAACTAAAATTAATCTTCAAAATATTGCATGACGAATAGAACACTGTAGTCACACAGACATCAGCTGGCCAGCTGTTGCTGTCCAACAATCCAAAAGGCACACATAACATTGAAATGGCCAAAAGCCATAGCCAAGTATTAGGTCCCATTAATCGGGAGTGCTGGGAGGAGTGGACTGATCACAAACCTAAACTTCAGCACTAGAACCAAGTAATCAGGCCTACCTGTCATGAGTTATCTTACCAATAGAAGCTCCGCTAAAAATATCAGCCATGTGTTCTTTTTATGTTCTTCAAAGCGGTTTCAATATGGATTAGATCAATTCTTTATCATTTTAGCAATAATGTTCTCTCTAATGTAGGCACAAAGTGCCCATCTGCTGAACAAATAGATAGATAACTTCAAAAGTACATTTTAAGCATGAAATATGCAAACTCCAACATAATAACATCTATATACAAAGCCAAACAACAACGAATGGCCATAGTGTTGCTAAAAACATTGAGATAGGCGAAGTATAAAACGTTTGCTCAAGAGCATGTTATCATTTAATGATCCAGTGGAACTAACCTGTCGATTTAAATCTCTTGCCTTATCAGCATATACACGAGATTCTGATGTTAAGCGGCTAGACATTTGACTGACCTCTGCAATGATGGGAAGAAAACACTAAGATAACAAGAAGATGTAATGCATAACAATTAAAAGGTTTAAAAAAAAAAGTTAGGAACTACAAAAATGGGGAACATGTAGACAACCATAAAATTTGTACAAACTTTGAATATTAATATTATGGGGAACATATAAGGTGGTGGTAGGTTTCTTTATTTTGTCCAGGAATTTTTTTTTGAAGACAATCTACACGACATCACTCTAGAGTAATATGTAATCTATATTATATGTAAGAAAAGCCAAACTCAACATACACAAATTTTCCATTTACACAGTTGGAGAACATAGCTTCTCCTAATTTAATTTCACAATCAACTCCAATAAGTTCAGTGATACTTTCAGATCATTGAAGTGTTCGTATCTCCATTTATGGTATGCTCATGGACAAGAACACATTAGTAGCAATTTCATGTATACTTCAAGAGAACCTCACCACACAATCACAGCCACCCATCATTTTCCCATAACCACATCTCTCTCTTTGCCTCTCTCTCGGATAAACCAATGAATGAGCAGCAGCCTGCTATCACCACCTTAGCCACCACACCCATCCCACATGCCTCCACCAACTCCTTCAAAACTAGCTTAATCAAACTCCTCCTTTACCATAACCCCACCACCGCATCACCTCCATTACTGCAACCCAGCCAAAGCCTCAATCACTAACCAACCATCCACACCACTCTCATCTGATTGTGCAAAGTAGGTTGGCGTTGTAACAAGCACATCATACAACACAGCCACCACATGACTCTCATCCACATTGTAGGGATGTGAAAAACAAAGGCCAACCTGCCAACCCAAATCGACTCGTGTAGTTTTGAAAAAGTGAGCAGTTTGGATTGGACGAATTAGATGATAAAAAACAATGAGTCAATTGGCCTGCGAGTGAAATTTTTTTACCTTATCTACAAACTATATATATCTAACTTATATAAAAATTATCTTACACTTGCCCACACACAATATCTCCTTAACCCTAATTGCATTAATTAAATGACATCCATGGGCTTCTATGAAGCACGGGTACTCCAAAAATAGTGTTGTATCAATACCAGGTACTTACCGGGTGTGGGTACGCATACCGGTACGGCTGCACGGGTACGGCAAAAGGGGATCCGATACATTTGGTTCATTTGGGTACGGCGTAGGTACACCGAGGCCAAATTTTTTATTTTTTTTTTTTTTTTTTGCCCTTGCAGATCAGCAATTATTATTATTATTTTTTTTTTTTTGTGCTCTTGCAGATCAGCAATTTGATGTTTCTCTGCTGTCCTATCTGTTTGTATGAATTGTATAAGCATATCAGCAAATGATTTTGATGTTTTTAAAAAGTAATTTGAACAAAAAAAATAACAAGGCTTATAAAGGGCAGTTCTGTGTATAACTATACATTATACTTTTGCTTCAGATCCTCCTAAAACTTCTTTATAAAATCTTTAATCATAACAAACTTTTAAAGTTTATGCACAAAACATTAAAAATTAATACTGTATTAGTTGATTAGTAGTGGTTGGGAATGATGCAATTTTATGTATTATGCAAATTGCAATTGACAACCTGCCTCAATTGAGAATTTTTTTCCTTTACTGTTGGCAATTAACTTTAAATCTTTCTTTGGTCTCCTATTATTTCTTTGGTCTCACCTTATAAAAATAACAAATTGATGAGCAAAAAGAAAGATTTTAAAAATAAATTATGATCACAAATTCATAGTGCATAACATGTCAAAGTGAGAGATTTCACAAATATTATTTTTAACGCTTAATGGTTTTAAATTATAGGAAAATAAGTAGTTGTCTTTTTAGTTTTGATATTTAATTTTAATTTGTAGGTTAGATCCTTTAACCATAATTATATTAATATATATATATATATATATATATCGGCGTACCGCAGCCGTACCCGTATCATATTTTTTTTGAGTTTTGCCGAATCGGCGTACCCGTACTGTACTCGTACCCACACCTGAGCTTCCTTGATGGGCTTAGTTTGGTTTGATTTGGCATTGGATTGAAATGATGCTCATCAAAAAACCAAACTATCACAAGGCAATTTGGTATTTTTACCTGTCTACGTGATGGTCAGGACCTAGGAGCACTTTACCTGAGAGTCAGGTGTATGACTGTCTGCAGACGAAAAATTTCCTCCAACCAGGGTGAGCTTTGGTGGCCTAGAAGTATTGTACAAACAATGGCGATAATGTCTCTTGATCATCTCTTTTATGAAAATGTGATATCTTTAAAGTGAATATGTAAACTTATGGATAAAATCAGCACACTAATCCTAAGAATATACTTCCTCTCCTCTCTCTCTCTTTTTTTTTTCTTTTATTTTATTTTTTTGATTTTGATAAAATCAGAAGACAAAAAATGAAAACACAATATTAAGCCCATAGTTGAAAATTCAGCATTTTATCTTTCATAGATATTTCTAACTGCAACATATCTCAAGTAAATTAAAAAAAAAAGAAGGGGAAAAAAAAACTTACGGTCCAACTTTTCACCAACACCCAGAACTTCTTGTACATTGCGAGTCATAATTTGGTGAACTTCATAGAGTTCATCATTCAGCTTTGAAATATTCCTCTGAGTCCGTGTGTCTTGGTACAGTTTCTTTGTTTTCTGTATGAATGTATCTTTGAAATGAAAGAAAGAAACCAAAAAAATAAAAATCATAAATCAAATCTAGCAAATGCAGAAAAACTTGATATTGATAATACAGTAAGCACATGTAAAGAAAAAAGGAAAGCAAGATGTACCAAATTTTATAAAAGCATATGGTCTTGCTGCAGTTTCAATTTGAGTCCCATTAACACGCTCAAACTCAGTCTTAAGGTCCTCCAGGTACTGAAAGGCAAGTTTCTTTGGATATGCACGATCACACATTGTCAAATAACAAACCCGTCCTTCAATAATATAACTAAGAACTTTGGTTAAGAGAATATTAAACTCCATGAACAATGCACTTTCAAATAGAAGGAAAATAGTATTATCAGAAGTGGCAGATTAACATGAGGAAAAAAAGCACAGCTTCAAAAAATAAGCAATGTGGTTATAGAATTGGTCCTTAATCATACATTTATATATGCTTTGTATAAGAATTCAGAAGTCCCATCATATGTATGCATGTTTACACTTAGTAGAACAAATGCTTCTAGGATAAATTAGTTTATCATGGTCCAAAATGATCAGACTAACACCATATTCACTAGTTTACTTTTTTTCCTGCTGACTACTATTTCGACCGATGTTAGGAACAATAAATCTACCACTGAGGTCTTTTGAGTAATCAATTATGCAATTTAAATATTTTGACATTCAATACCAATAAGAGGAAAGCACAAGTTCAGAAATAAGAGTTTTGACCACCCCACACACCCACAGAGTTTTGACCACCCCACACACCCACGCACATCTCAAGTGTGCAACGAAAGGGAGACATTTCTTTCTAGAAGTGAGAAAAGGCTAGCATTAGTTGCAAGCATTAGCATGTTAAAATGGCATTGACAGGCAAAGAATTTAATCCATGATATTGGGCAGAAAGTATAAAAATGATGGATGTCTCTAAAGTTACCGGACATGGAAAAAAGACAAATAAAAGGGACACCTCTCGAATAGTATGTACATGCCAGGAAAAAGATGGAAAACTAAGAAGTAATAATAGCTAAATGCATGTCAACTCCTTGCATGTAGAGAAGAATAAGAAAATGAGAAAAAAAAGGTTTCTAAAATCAAATAACAAGGATACTGGAAAACATATGGCCCAGTTTCAATCGACATTCTTGAAGCCTCATTATGGCCTCTTGAAAGGTTCTTGAACAAAGCCTTGACTTGCTGTTTGTAAAATTCAGCATCTTGCAAATCACGGCCATCATCCAGGCCCTCCGCTAGTGGAAGCCCATCAGTAACACGAGCAATCATTGTCAGCTTCACCATCTTTACGTCACAAGCACACAGCTTCACAAAAAGGACAAAAATCTGTTACCCAATGGAACACTATATATCTTGAGCAGGAATTACGTGTTAAAACATAACAAACATTAAATGCTTATAATTGCTGCATTATCATACATGCAGTTGGATTTTAAACGACACTGCAGATTTGCAATATTTCACACAACATTCACACACGTGCACACACAGAGATTGTTGCTTTATAATCTTGCTAGAATATTTCGATAGAATTTTGCAATAATGTTTAGAGAAGAGAACTTGAATCATACAAATTTGAGATATTGAAGAGTATTCACGCATCCTACAGATACAAAGGAATAACGATACACACGAAGACTTTTTCAAACAGATCCCAAGTTTTTGTCATGTTCCGAATTTGCAAATGCTCACACTGAAATGTCCAAAATGCATTTCAATCCTAGAAACCCCCAAAACAGATAATAAGTGAAACTAAAACCCTGACTTTTGTTATTAAAAGGCTTAAAAAAAAATTTAAAAAAAAATCAAATTGGGACTTTTTCACTTTTTAGAAACTCTAACCACTGAAATGAACACATTACATGGTTGATCCCAAACTTTTCCAAGCTAGACATCGCTACACTATATCAGTAACTAACAAACCAATTGTTCCTGAGGATGAACCATTCTCATACAAATGAAAACAGATCCATTTCTTGAATTTTTCTTGTCTTTGGCCAATTTATGTTGCAAAAATCAATGTTGCGTCAGTTTCACATAATTTTCATCAATGTAGACAAATGTCATAAACAGTACTCGCCAGCAGTCTTCTATAAAACCTAATTTTTGCTCAAAAAACCCCAATTTCCATTTAGCCCCAAAGTAGATACAGTTCATCTCCAATACAAATATGATTAACCTAATTGTAATGGTATGTAACGAAATCCCAAGCAATTCATCCAAGTCCCCAATTACTAGATCACTACAATCACTCAAACAAAGTTTTAATGAATCAAATCAGATAACCCAACCAACTCAAATTCAGAATCAAACCCAAAACTCAGAAAATAACAAAAAATTGAAAAGAAAATAAGGAATTGAGAGCGCATTACGAAGATCAAAAGGAAATTTATGAATTGCATAACATGAATGATGAATATGATACCTCTCAAGCGTATATCTATGGCTTTATATATGCATATAGGTAGTTCTTCAGATCGTGTCTTTCAAGTAGAAGCATTTGGGTTTTCCATTCTAGTCCAACGATCCAACGTAGTAGACGATTGGATTGAAGAAGACAGAGAAAAGCTTAAATAGGGTTTCTTTCTTTGTTTCTGTTCTGCGAAAAGTCTATTGAGAAAACAGCCAGCGAGGCTAATTTTAATGCATAGCATAGGGCGGTTTTCTTACTATCAATTTACTTCGCTCAATTTTTGCTTTACTTTTCAACGGCACCCTCAAAAACTTTTTTTATTTTTATTTTATGTGCTAAGTTTTTTTCAATATATATATATATATATATAATAATTATTATGGATAATTGGCGAAAATTCTATTTATATGTCTATGTGTATATTATTTAGGGTTGATTTGGGCTCTTTTAAAAAAGTATATTTTTTGACTTATTAGTTTATATGGGTTGGGTTTGATGTGATGTGTTGGAGATGTGATGTGATTTAAATAAGATGATGTGACTTAAATAGGATAGTGACTTTTTGACTTTTTGTATTATTTAATTTATGCCAAACCAACCCTTAGTCTAAGGTTTAATATTTTTTTTTTCTTTTATGATAAGTGCCATTTTGGGAACATGGTAAAAAGTCACGTTTTTTGACAAAATGTCCAAAAACGTGGCTGCCAAAAACGCCAAAAAAGCCATTTGGCAAGTGCTAAAAACGCAGCTCTAAAATTACAAATTAGGGCCTATGAAAAATAAATAAAAAAATAACTCTCTTATGTTGGGTAAGGGTATTTTGGTCATTTTAATTTGATTTGACACCATAAACAAATATTAAACTAAAAAGTAAAAAGCCAGCTTTTTACCAACTTCCCAAATCACTTTCAAAAAAGCCAAAAAGCTTGGTAAAAAGCCAAAAGCCAGCTTTTTACCAACTTCCCAAAACAACCCTAAGTATACGTGTTGAAAGTCGCCGAGAAATTGGTTAGGAAAATTGCTAGAAAGTCGATGGTGTTGGTAGGCAATATCGCACAACAGTTAGTCGCAGTGAAGTAGACAAATATGTGATATTGAACAAATATGAGAATAGATAAGTAACATGTGTACATATAGGTAAATATTTGAATAGATAATTTGATAGATAAATGAAATGTGTACATATAGGTGACATTTTTTAACAGATAGACGGATAAATAAATTTTGAAAAGATAAGTGTCTTTTTACACAAATAATGTTCTTTTAAGGGGGATTTAGTCAAAGTCCATCGTAATAAAATTTTAATGCATATAAAATAATTTCCTTACAAAGTCTAAAATATACCACTATTACCAAAATATACTTAGTGAGTAATTTAATATTTTAAATTTTAAAATAATAGTATAATTTTTTTATCTAGATATTGATTTTTAATAAAATTAGTATTTTTAAAAATTCTCTCATCAACATCTGTTAAACAAAATCCATATTGATTATGAAATTCTTAAAAAAATATAAATAAAAAAAATGCCGTCGAAATTGGCGTAAACAATAATGTGTTACGCTTGTTTATAATAACATTTTACTATTATAAAAAATATAATACATGCTAAATGAACCAACTAAAAATACACATACATAACATTTTTAAACTTGTATAAAATAAAATAAAATTGTCCCTCGTCAAAAGAGTATGTGAGATATATATATATATATATATGTGCATGGGTAATATTGTCCAAGAATTGTTTTTTACTTCGTCCTTGTTTAATTATGTGCCTCCTCTTTTGGAGGTTTATGAAGTAAAATAAATTAGATTATCTTTTTCACCAAATAAAGGTTCACTGCAAGGGTTTTGGCTAAATTTCCTTTCTTTTTTTAACTCAAAAAAAATTAAATTTAGGTCTATTGGCCCAATAATTTCAAAAATAGACCTTTGTTTGAGTACCCTTATAATTATTTATTTTTTTGCACTTTTCTTACTCTTGATAAAATAAAAGAGCAATGTTAGGAATATCAAAATTATTATAAAAAAATTGCTATCAAACACTCATATTGGTGTAGAACTTACACTCATGTGAGTGATAAAGTTTTTGATGTAATATTTGGAATTTTTAGTATTTATGAAAGTAAAAAGTGATCGCTACCAAACGACATTTTCTATAATCAATGAAAAAAGAATTGAGTTGGGTGAAAGGAATAAAATGGGACTAAATTAACATAATATAAAAAATATAAAAAAATAAAGGGACAAGTATAATTTAGTGTAAATTTTTTAATATAATTTCAGATCAATGTTAAATTTTATGAACATTAATAATTAAAATTTTAAATTTTATGAACAGTGTCACACATAAATCAATTGAATACCTTGACTTTTTTTATTTTGTATAAGTGTGTTTTGGAAAGATGGTTAAAAGTTTACTTTTTTAATTTTTTTAATTTTTTTTATTATTTTATATAAAAAATAATGTGACTCAAAATAAAGAAAAATGTTTGGGAGCACTAATTGTACCTATTTAAGATCCTTGCAGTTGCTACTAATACAATTGTAAGTTATGATTTTGTATTTTAATTATTATTTTAAGTAAATGCATCTTATTCCAGTACTCATTCTTCATTCATTCATCATTCTTCATTTATGTGCTGCTTCCGCCTTAATGGTATCAGAGCCAAGTGATGTTGTATCCTGTTTCTAACTGTTTAGCTACTTCTGTTCAATCGTCTTCCTTGTTTGCTTAATTAATCCTGTTTTCAGTTCATCTTAATCACCCGAAAGATCAGTCTGTTCTATCCACCTAGTTTAAGTCACCCACTTCTTCCCAGTCTTCTGTAAGTCCTTCGATTTAGGCAGAGTCAGACTTTGGGGTCTAAAGATAGGGTATGTATGTACACTAGGTATGTGGTAAAATTGACAAGAATAGGGTATGTATTAAGATATCTGTAAAACTGGTTAATTAAATCAAAACAATGAATCGATTATTTAGAAGTAACTCATCAGTCAGTTCTAGGTCAACTACCTTGCCTTCCATACCTAATCCAGGCATCATAATTAATGAAGAAGATGTTGAAATCCAAAATGATCAAATTAATTCTGGATGGAATATTCCAAAACTACCTATTAAAGAGATTTATAAAACTTCTTTTATACAGGATGTTTTTAAAGTTACTCTTCATGTTAAAACTATTGAACAAGTTTATGCTTTAGAAAAACCAAGAGAAACCTGTCAGTTATTTGATAAAAAATTAATCAAACGACATTTAGATCGTGGTTACAATTTCATGCATATTGGTTTAATTCAAATTGGTGTCAATCCATTAACTATGATTGGACAAAACACTTCTGTTTTACTCTGTTTAAGAGATGCTCGTTTTCTTAATTACAATGCTAGTTTAATGGGAATGATGGAAACTGGTCTTAACAAAGGTCCAGTACATTTTAATTGTTTTCCTGATTTTACATTAAGTTTAAGAGATCCACATATTCTCAAAGTATTAACACTGAACATTCAATTACATGGTGAATATACTGAAATGTTAGATTCTTCTCATAATATTGCTTTAATTTATCGTGTTCATTATAAATGTATGCAAACTAATTTAAATGTTCATGCTCTACATAAAAGTCCCAAAGATAAAACTTTATTAATCCAAAGCAGTAGTACTAATGAATCAAACATTAATATTCCACACATGATTGAATGGAAAGATATTCATTTACCTGATCAATGGGTTACTGTCAATGAAAATTACAAACATAATCAACAACAATCTTCAATCCAAGACATTCAACATATCCAACAAAACAATGATGGATCCGTTAATATTAAATTCAATCGAAGTCAATCTTCTAGACATAGTACATCTAATGTCCCTTCTGAAATATCAACTGACGATGAAATATTTAACACTCCTCTATTTAGGAAAAACAGTCAACTCCATCTTGGTCCAACTAATCCAACTTCAAATAAATTAAAAGGAATTGATAATTCTACCACTTCCCAAATTAGTAAACCTGTTTATACTACTACCTCACATTTCCCTGACGAAGAAATAGCTTCAAATAATTCCCCAACTCAAACTGATTTCGAAGGATTAATACCACCTGTCAATCCTCAGCTAATGACAATTAAAAAAGATTTTACTCCTAATTTAGATAAATTACTTATTGACTTTAGATCAAAAGAAAATCGGTCTAAAAGACATGCTTATAGTGCTAAATATGATTCTGCTCAACAATCCCGAATAACTCGCAAATGGTATGATTTTATGGTTCAATATGGTTTTGAATTATCTTTCTTTGATTATATGGATCAATATTACAAAAAGGTTAATACGATCACCAAACATAAATGGAAAACTTCTCCAAATACTTCTGTTAGTTATAATCATCCTCCATTAGAAAATATACTTATTGATCACCAAGGTTCTGAAGTTCCAGCCTCTCCTTTTAAACTACCAGGTACTGATCCTGAAATCAAAAAAGTTATTGAACAAAACAATTATACTAATCAATGTCTCAAAACAATTGGTAAACAATTAGATAAATTGGAAACTAATTTCGATGACCAATCTGCCAAATCAGCTAAAACTTTAGATCCACCATTACTTAATCTGCCTAGTCATCGTTCTAAACGAAATAGTCTAGTTACTACTGACCAATCTACTGTCAAAGCTATTGAACAATTATTTACCAAATTAACTCCTAATGATACTTCTACATCTAAAGATAAAGGTCTTACTGTTTTAAATCAACAACCTATTACTAATACTGTATCTGATCAATCTGAAACTGACACTACTGATAGTGAACTAAATCAATTAGCCCAACAATTTCAACCTACTACTCTTAATAAAATTCACTATCCCAAAGTTAACCCTCAAACTACCAAAAACTGGTATTCTAAACCTACTCCTGTCGACCTCCAATTTGAAGACACAAATATTAGTAATCAATTTTCTGTTTCTGCTAAAAGATTATACGAATGGAATATTGATGGTCTCAGTGAAGATCAAATCCTTCAAAAATTAAATCATTTATCTATGGTCGCCAATAGTTATCTCAGTAATTATCCCCAATACACTCAACCTGAAATTGTTTCCTTACTTACCTCTGGTTTTACTGGTATGCTTAAATCTTGGTGGGAAGAAAAATACCTCACTGAAGCAGACCGTGACTCTGTTATTTATGCCAATCAAACTGATGAAAATGGACTCCCTCTTTTTGATGAATC